GTTGTTCCAGCAAGCGGGACTGGCCTAGGGGATTTTATAGGGGTTTTAATTACTTTTAAATTTGACATTCTTAAATATTTCATTTTAATCAAATTTTAAATTAGGTGTAATATGTTAGTTTTTTATCATTTGTCAGCCGCCCTGAGTCCGAAAGGAGAAGGGCGGGATATAAATACAATTAATAAATAAATAAATAAAATAAAATGACCCAACTAGGTAACATCATCAGTGCTAGAAGGGAGTGGGGTTTGTGGAAAGGAGGAGGAGGAGGACTGTGGGGTCCTTGGTGCTCTCTCTGAGGTTGGTGGTTTTCCTGGAGATGTTCCATGACCCAACTAGGGAACACCATCAGTGCTAGAAGGGAGTGGGGTCTGTGGAGAGGAGTAGGAGGAGGACTGTGGGGTCCTTGATGCTCTCTGAGCTTGCAGATGTTTCATGACCCAACTGGGGAACACCATCAGTGCTAGAAGGGAGTGGGGTCTGTGGAGAGGAGGAGAAGGAGGACTGTGGGGTCCTTGATGCTCTCTGAGCTTGCAGATGTTTCATGACCAAACTAGGGAACATCATCACTGCTAGTGGGTGTGTCTTGCTCCCTGTTTATATTACAGTAGCTCTGAGTTTGGTGGTTTTCTTGCAGACGTTTCATTACCCAACTAGGGAACATCATCAGAGCCAGTAGGGAGTGGGGTTTGTGAAGAGGAGGAGGAGGAGGAGGATTGTGGATCCTTATTGCTCTCTGAGCTTGGTGGTTTTCTTGCAGACATTTCATGACCCAACCAGGGAACATCATTAGTGCAACATCTGGAGAACATCAATTGCCTTAGCCATGAAATGAAGGGAACTTGGCTTCACGTTACCGTTGGCCTAAAGGTGTACCTCTTTTAAATACCCTCTTCCAGGTGACAAGCCAGGATAAAACCCCGGTGGTGATCCGCAAAGCTATGGCCAAACACAATCTGGACGGGGATCGGCCGGAAGATTATGAACTCATCCAGATCATCTCGGAAGAAAGAGGTACAGAAGATGGCCTTTTGGACTCTCCGCTTTATTTATGCTATTCCTTTATTTGCTGTATTGGCTAACTTTCCCTAAACCTTATTAACGCGGGATTATTATTTTTTTAAAAAAATGTAATTATTATTTATTGCTGCACTAGCCAAAATAAGATAATTAGAGCGAGACTCGGCTCAACCCAGAATCTTAATTTCTTTCTTTCTTTCTCTCTCCACCCCACCCCTTCCCCTGCAGAGCTCAAAATTCCCAACAACGCCAACGTCTTCTACGCCATGAACTCGGCCGCCAACTACGACTTCGTGCTCAAGAAGCGAGGTTTCTCCAAGGTGATCAAAATCAAGCACGGATCCAGCTCAACTCTACCCAGGGTGAAACAGAAAGGGTTGAAAATCGCCAAAGGCATCTTCTAACACCGTGCGTGCGTGTGTGTGTGTGTAGGGGGCGGTGTATTCATCTCCCTCTCCCACTGACTCTCCAGGTTGCAGTCCCTCCTGCCTTAAGCCACGTGGGAGTGTGAGGATGACGCCTCTAGTTGCGTAGCCTCGGATCTTCGCCCGGGAACTTAGGAACGCCGTTGAGGTCCCTCAAGAGGTTGACGGCTTCTTCAGAGCCAAGCTTCTGCAGACTTCTGAGCGTGTGCGGGATGTGTTGGCAGAAGCTGGTTCTTGCCTTTAAAAAGATGTGTATTGCTCTTTTCTTTTTCGCCCTCCGGTCCGGGAAGGATTTTTAGCTTTTTTTTTAGAAAAACACAAAACAAAGAATTCCACCTCTCAAGGTCTAAGGACTGCTTAGCCCCTGGCTGCGTTGACTTCCCCATCCACCGTTCTGCCTTATCGTTCTGTTGACCAAGGAGGGTGGTGCTCTCCTCCCATGACGTACCAGAAGAGCGAGGGATGTGGGATCGGGTCTCCTTTTGCCGAGATTGTGCGAAGACTCGTCCTTTGAGATGCTCCGGAGGGATTGAAATGGACTTTTGTGGTCTGGGAAAGAGGGA